GATCGGACAAAGCTTTTATTATTTATAAACACACATATCTAACTCATACTTGATCGGACAAAGCTTTTATTATTTATAAACACACATATCTAACTCATACTTGATCGGACAAAGCTTTTATTATTTATAAACACACATATCTAGCTCATACTTGATCGGACAAAGCTTTTATGAGTACCGTAGTGAATTGGGCATCTCTATTTAAATGGAGGGTCACTTGAAATTACGCTTACAGTTCTTTAATCATAGATATGAGGTGAGTTTTATTTCAAAAATTAGGTCAATTTTTCATATTTTGAGGTCAGTTCAGTCCAGTGCAGTATTATATTTTTTTCAGTAAAAACTAATAGTTCTTCTTTTTTTAATGAAAAAATAACATAGTTGAATTTCTAAATAGACAACCAAATATATTTATCTTTTTACATACTTGAAGGTTATGATAAAGGAGCAACTCGGGGTCACAAAGTCGTAAAGGAATTATGTATTATTTTTTTCATACGTAACTTATTCTATTCTTTTTCATATTAAGAATTTTAATCATAAAAAGGTACAATATCTTAGATCCATATTTATAAACTATAACATTGTGTACTAGACAGAACGAGTAGGTCCATTGGATACTCAGATTAAGTAATCGAGATTAAGGATATCTCATTTTAAAGTTTTCAGTTCTGGTTTCATATTGGAAATTCAAAACATTCTACTTCTTCTCAATAACTCTAAAATTCCTTCCAGGGTTCAAACCAAATATATTGTTAAGTACAAGAGAAGAAAATAAGAATTTGTGCACTCTCAGTTCAGCGGTATTCTTACGTCACAAGTGTCAACTCAGTTTTTTAATAGTGATAATTTTAGACTAAATGTTTATCTTACAGTGAAATAAGTGCAATAGTATGTGTTCTTTATTTTCTGTTTTTACAATTGATCTTAGAAAACATGTCAACTAATGTGAGAAAATTTCGTTTTCCTTGTTATATTTGACACTTGTGGCGTCGTGTATAATAGTCTATTTCTCTGTTGCCAACTATTGTACTTGATAATCCATTTGCTTCAAACCAATCATAACAAAACACATATGCATTGTGTAATACGAGTTTTGCATATTTAAAAGATGAATCCATGTATGAAGAATTTTGATGATAAATAAATCAAAAAACTTTGTTTAGATATGTTTACAGATTTGTCTGTGATCTCCAATCTTTATTAGGTAAATATTACATAAATACGAATAATTTTTATTATTTTTATTATTTGAAAAGGAAATAAAACGCATCTTTGATTTAGTATTGTCTTACATTTTTTAAATCGGGATATCAAGGGAATTTTTAAATATGTAAAAAAAAATCTTTTATCATTTTTTATGCTGTTTCTGTTGTTTTATGATGATTTTATTGATTAATCAAATTAAGAGTTGATCAAGTTTTAATCTTAACATATTTGATACTTGTTCACAATCTACTGTATCCAACTTTTTCCAATATTGATTATTTAGTTGATTTTTTAATATTTGATTATTTGATTCATTGAATATTCAAATATTTGATTATTTGATCATTTGACTTTTTAACAAAAAGAATTTATTAATGGAACATTTGATTATTTGATTATTTGATTATTTGATTATTTGGATATTTGATTATTTGATTATTTGATCATTTGGATATTTGATTATTTGAGAATTTGGATATTTGATTATTTGATTAATGGATCATTTGACTAATTGACTATGGGATTATAATTGATAAACTGATTATTTGATTATTTGATTAATTGATAAATTATTTATTTTTGATTTTTGATTGATTAATTGATTGTTTGATTAATAGTCTAATAATGGATAAATGGATTACTTGATTATTTGATTAATTGATTGATAGATTATTTGATTTAATTTGATTGATTAATTGATTAATTGATCAGGTTACACTCCGGAAGAACTGCATGCTATGGTAGATCTTCAACCCTGTCCTGTCAAGAAAGAATCAGAATAGTAAAAAACCTCCTTCCCCCCAAACCTCCTCCCCCCCAAAACAAAAATAAAAAAAAATTTAACACGGATTGACACGAGCGTTCTAAAACATTTCTAAACAGATAAGAAACCAGGGTGATAAGGCTGTAAAAAGTAAAAAATTGCACATTTTTTTTGATTTTATAAATAGTCCCATATAAAAATTTAAACAGACTGTCTTAACCCATTTGCTGGATATTTGTAACAAACGTCATCATATTCCACACAATATCATTCTTTATGTTGTAGAAATTTCATGTGATACAATTTGTACCAAAGGACCATTTAAATCAAATATTTTTATACATGTTTATTGTACATACTTTAAATCATATTCTGACGTTGTTAAATGATAATTATATATAGTTTTAGGACCAAAAATGTCTAAAATTTAGTCAATTAGTTTCTGTTTTTGAAAAATAGATTGTGCCAAATGGTTTTTTAAAAAGTTATTGTTGTTTGTTTTATTCCGAAATATACGTTATTTAGATAAACTATACAGGGTTTAGATATATTATACAGGGTTTAGATATATTATATAGGGTTTAGATATATTATAAAGGGTTTAGATATATTATAAAGGGTTTAGATATAGTATACAGAGTTTAGATATATTATACAGGGTTTAGATATATTATACAGAGTTTAGATATATTATACAGGGTTTAGATATATTATACAGAGTTTAGATATATTATACAGGGTTTAGATATACTATACAGGGTTTATATATATTATACAGAGTTTAGATAAGCTATACAGGGTTTAGAAATATTATACAGGGTTTAGATATATTATACAGGGTTTAGATATATTATACAGGGTTCTGATATATTATACAGGGTTTAGATATATTATACAGGGATTAGATATATTATAAAGGGTTTAGATATATTATACAGGGTTTAGATATATTATACAGGGTTTAGATATATTATAAAGGGTTTAGATATAATATAAAGGGTTTAGATATAGTATACAGGGTTTAGATATATTATACAGGGTTTAGATATATTATACACGTTTTAAACATTCTTCTGTACATTGTAAATTCTATTGCAGATTCTACTGTACATTCTACTATACATTCTACTGAAATTCTATAATACATTCTTTAGTACACTTTCCTTTGCATTCTAAAAATATTTGACTTATATTAATACTGAATTATGACCCTGTAATGTGTACAGGAAGTAAGGGCAGATTATGATAGAAGAGGGCATGAGAACTACACATAGTACATACGATATACATATATATAAATATATATACACTATATATATATATTGCATAAATTTCACTAGAAGGGGATCATTCCTTTGGCGTACTATCCCTTTTTGCCTCATATAGTCTGTATTTACTACTACTACTACTACTACTACTACTACTACTACTACTACTACTACTACTACTACTACTACAACAGCAACTTCTACTACTCTTCTACTACGACAAGTTCTCTGTTTTTGATACTGCGCAGTAACTTTTTTCTCTCCTTTTCTCTTCCCAATATTTTCTCTGCTCGATTTTATTTATAAACAGGAGGTGGCCTAATAGACATATATATTTTTTTAAATACATTATCTGTAAAATCTTAGTATAAAAGGATACCCAGGAAGACGAAGGCTATGAAGACGATCTGAAGCTCTTAAATTTGACAAAACTTAATTGATAAAAGCTTTTTTTACATATTTTTAAAAATAATTTGACAAATAAAGACACGACTGCTTGCAGTTGGAAGGAATCATGAAATAGACAAAGTATACAATAGATTTCATAAAGTCGTCTCTAAAGCTTTACCCTGAGTCTAGGTTAACTTTTTTTTACAGTGATGTTCTAAATAAGCCGGAAAAATATGAATTAATTGATAACTTCAAAGTCGTCAATTTGACCTTAATAATGCTTGCGGCATTCAAGATATGTAAAATGATTTAGCAACATTTTTTTAGGAAACAATAATAACAAAATAGCCCTAATTCTGCGATTTTCAAAATGTTTTCTGCCATTTTTTTACACCAAAAATTACCAGAGATATTAAGAATTTGATTTTAATTTCAATTTATTAAATAAAATCCTAAAAATGTCTTATTCTGAACGAAATCATTCATATCTACGAAAATTATGAAAGCACAAAAATGGCAGACTACATTTTAGAAATGACAGGACTAGGGCTATTATTTTATTTTTGTGTCATAAAAATATATTGCTAAACCAGAGTCCAAAACTAAAGAACGAAAAGTTTTGACTTAAATTTTAAGTTCATGGTTAAATGCCACTTCTGACTTAATTTAAACGCCTGAACTTTAACCGGGAGGTTAAATATTTAATCCCGTGGTTAAATATTTAACTCGCCGAAATCGACGAGTTAAAATTTAACCACAGGTTTAAAATCTTGAAATTCTGCATTTTCCCTATTTGTCTATTATTCAATCATCATTCAGCTGCAGCTGAGAAAGCGGCATTCAGCTTTACGATATATTTAAAAGTGAAAACCTTGTTAAAGAAATTTCACGTTTTAGATAAACAGCTGATTAACGATGGTTATGTAATACTCTCCGTAAATCCTTTTCTCTGATTGGTTCAGATTTTCCCGGGAAATTCAAATTTAAAATTGAGAAAGTTTAATATTTAATTAGCTATTCATTATTTTACAGAACTTTTAACCTCGAACTTAAAATTCGCGCATTCTTTAGTTTTAGACTCAGGTTCTCTATGTTAAATGTCACAAACTATGTCTAAGGATCAAAGGTGACTTTGAAGTTATCAATCAATTCATATTATTCATATTATTTAGAACATCACTGTAGGCCAAATAGATCAGTAGTATCACAGAGAGGTTTCCAAAAGAACTAAGAGAGAACTGAACTACATTTTTAAAATTTAGTTAAACCTTCAGTTATAAAATTGATTGAACTGAATGAGAAGCTCAACTCAGTATTAATATGTCATATTCTAAACTTTATTTGCTAAGGTGATTCGAGACAATGTTTAAGCAGCTGTTAATGCATAAAAAGTTTATTTTATGTACAGTACTGTTCCTAGCCAGTAGTCAGTTTAACCAGGGGGCTGTCACTAGTATTCCAGGTAACTTGTACAGTACAGTTCAGTTACAGTATTTCAGGTACATTATGCAGTACAGTTTAGTCACTAGTATTCCAGGTACACTGTCAAGTACAGTTTAGTTTCCAGGTACACATCACAGAATAGTTCATTCACTAGTATTCCAGGTACATTGTACAGTACAGTTCAGTCACTAGTATTCCAGGCACACTCTACAGTATAGTTCAGTCACTAGTATTACAGGTACATTGTAGAGTACAGTTCAGTCACTAGTATTCCAGGCACACTCTACAGTACAGTTCAGTCACTAGAATTCCTAGTACATTGTACAGTATTTAGTTCAGTCACTAGTATTACAGGTACACTGTACAGTACAGTTCAGTCACTAGTATTCCAGGCACACTCTACAGTACAGTTCAGTCACTAGAATTCCTAGTACATTGTACAGTATTTAGTTCAGTCACTAGTATTACAGGTACACTTTCAGTACAGTTCAGTCACTAGTATTCAAGGTACATTGTTCAGTATTTAGTTCAGTCACTAATATTCCAGGTACACTTTACAGTACAGTTCAGTCAATAGTATTCTGGGTACACTGTACAGTACAGTTTAGTCACTAGTATTCCAGGTACACTGTACAGTACAGTTCAGTCACTAGTATTCCAGGTACACTGTACAGTACAGTTCAGTCACTAGTATTCCAGGTACACTGTACAGTACAGTTCAGTCACTAGTATTCCAGGAACACTATGCAGTCAGTCACTAGTATTCCAGGTACACTGTACAGTACAGTTCAGTCACTAGTATTCCAGGTACACTGTACAGTACAGTTCAGTCACTAGTATTCCAGGAACACTATGCAGTACAGTTCAGTCACTACTATTCCAGGTACACCATACAATACAGTACAGTACAACCCAGTCACTAGAATACTTTATGCACACCGTACTGTGCAGTATAGAACAGAGAGTCACTAGTATACCAGGTACACTGTACAGTACCGAACATTCACTTGCACCAAATACATTATAGAGTACAGTACAATCATTTAATGTTTAAGTTACGGTAACAGTGCAGTACAGTATACAGTACCGTTACTAAAAGTACATTAGTATACCAGTTACACCGTACAGTACCGCACAGTCTCTAATACAAGTTACAGGGTACAGTAAAATAAACTGTACACTGTAAAACACTTTTCAGTAGAAAGTTTCTCTTTGATTGAATTTAGTTACAGTACAAACTTGTAAATGTCTGTATTAAGTATTTAAAAATTTGATAAAACTTTTAAAAATGCTTCAAGTAGCATTATTGAGGCCGGATTATCAAATATATTAAAATAATGAACTAATTTACCGGCGGCCTTCTCTATTACTTAAACAACTTGAGTAGGTAACACTTTAAAGGGAGTGACCGGCTAGACATGGTATTTGAGCTGATAATGCAGTATCGTAGAGAAATCTTTTAGGATTCATTTGATACCTCTGAGCCGATATATACGGTGTATAAATGTCTAGCAAGAGCCAAATTCAATCTTTAAAATCCTCAGGAATAGTCCATTTTGTAAGGATGATTTTGATAATCGAGGTTTTAAAAATTGTTCAATAACGACGACGAATAATGTTTCAAAATCATACTTCCAGAATGAAAGATCCATGATGATTTTAAAGATTTGCGCTCTTTCTATACAATTCTAGACCGTAAAAATGTCTCAAATGAACCCTAAACAAATTCTCTACAATACTACACTCTCAGCTCAACTACCATGAATAGCCGGTCACTCCCTTTAAATACAAATGTGATATTATGAAAATAACGAGATGAACTTAACTTTTCTGAATGAAAATTTTACGATTATATTAATCATAGTATTATCATTATTAAAATTAACAATTTTTTAAAATTATTATTATTATTATTATTGTTATTATTATTATCATAATTATTATCATTATAATTATTGCCATTATTATTATCATAATTATTAATTATTATTATTATTATTATTCTTATTATTATCATTGTTACTATTATTTCTATCATCAACATCAGTTAAATTAGAAACAACTTTTAGGATGCGCATTCTCTTGTTCCTGCAATTTTCTTTTTAGGATCAAAAATCCTTTAAAGACTATGTCGATGTTTTATTGCTAATTTTTATCATTTGAAATTTCTTTGAAATTAAAAAAATAAAAAAAACAAATATTTTGAAAGTCAAGTAAACTTGAAAGGTTAATGGATACAAACTCAATTCATTTCCTTAAAAGATAGAAATTTAAAAGAACGTCTAACTTTAACGGCCTAACT